GTATCTATATAAATCTTCATCAAATAGCCTAAAGCTCTAACTTATCTCTTGTGTGTTCCACTAAGGAGAGCAGCACATATCTTGTTAGAGATATTTCCCTATTTCATAAATAGGAAACCAAAGCATAGAGAGGTTAAATGATTTGTCTAGAGTCACACAGGAAATCTGTGGCAGAGTCTGAAATGAACCTAGAGAAGGGGTAGGGGTAGCTCAGTGGTTTGAGCATTGGCCTGCTAAACCCAAGCTTGTGAGCTCAATCCTTGGGAGGGATCTAGAGGAAATCTGTCAGGGATGGTATAGTCCTGCTGTGAGGGTAGGGGACTGGACTCAATGACCTTTCAAGGTCCCTTCCAGCTCTATGTATATATATATATATACATTCTGAATCCTAGCCCAGAGCCTTAAATTGAAAACCATCCTTCTCTTAAACTTCAAAATTGATATCTCTTTATTGTTATTTTGTCTAATTGTGGGTATTCTCATTATCCATGTCAACATATGATCTGGTTTTGAATCGTGCTGAACACTGAGCCCTGATATCATGTAGCAGAGCGTTCTACTGGTAAATTATTCACATTTCTATATCTATTATTAAATGAATGAATAATAATTCTTAATTTTGCTACTTTTCATTTTTATTTAATATCCCCTTATTAATGCACCTCAGGAAATAGAGAGGAGTGATCTCTTTACTTTCCTGAGTCATCAAGTTAACATGAAGATATAAAATGAGACAAAAAACTCTTATATTTGTAGCCACTGGGAAAGTGATAGCTTTGGATCCCATTCCACAAGAAAAGGGGGAAACCCAGAAACCCAGATAAGCAATTTAAAATTAAGGCAGTTAGTTACTACTTCAGCAATTGTTACTACTTCAGCAATTGTAATGATACACCTACTGCCTAATGGTATATAACAACAGCTAAGCTAGAGAGAAACCACCACCTCACCAATGAAGTCGTGGTTTGTCCATGAAGCTCTGCAACATTCCATTCCAGGTACAAACTCCCCTCATAATAATCATTTAAATACCAGATTTCTTGAATAAATATTTGTGAAGATACAATCTTTTAGAGATTTATAGACTGTTGCAAGAATTTGAGCATTTTCTAAGGCAATGTCAGATGAGTGGTGGCCTGTATCCAGTCATGTGGCATACCTTGAACAGCTGAGTGTGTTTCTTTTTGTCATTTTTTTACAGCTGTAGTAGCTTCCTTGTCCTGGTGTCACATGTTACGATTCTTGAGGTGTTGAATCAGGAAGCATATTTGGGCACAGATTTGAGTTTTCTCTTATTTTGTAATAGTGATTGTGTAAAACAGATCTAATCACGTAAGTCATTGCATTAGCTTTGGTACTTTAGGTAGCAGGGGCTAATGATTAAACTCATTGCCCACATGTAGGAGACATATAGGCAGGGACAAACATTTGAGAGGCACAATCCAAGCACTGTGGGCCTGATTGTTCAGTCAGACACCTGCAGTGTGCCTCCAAGAGAGATGTACAGATGAAACTGAATAGCCTTTGAGTAGTAATTACAGCTACTAGCAAAAGTCTCCATAGTACCCAGCTGTTCTGTGCAGAGATTCTCCACATACATCTCTATAATACCAACCACAACTGCAGCACAGAAGCTTGTCTCTCCATGTCACCCCCTGCAGTGGCCAATCATGCAAAGGAACAGGATGAGGTGGAGAGACATGATGCTGTAATGACGCAACTATAGACAACAGCTGGGGAATTCTAAACACTTCAGCATGTAATTATTAGTTGAAACATGTTAGGAATGTTTTATTATTCATCATTTGTTACCCTCCTGCTTTTAAAATCTTTAATTTAATTAGAGAGCAGAAATAACACCATGCAACTTAGACCAATCACACAGCAAATAATATGCCTACTCAATAGCATGTATTCTAGGCAGCCAGATGGATATTATCCAGTAAACTGAAAATCATTCAGTAAAACTATTTGGCACATACTTCAAGAGCAACTAATATAGCCAAAAGGAAATCAGGGTCTGTTTGGGAATGATTGGATATACCAAAATGGGCTGAATCAAGAATAAACTGTACAAAATGCTGTAGGTTCAGTTATATAATGAGTACAGTTCTGTTTCCAACATGGAGGGAATATCTGTCTTTTAGGAAGGAAACAAGGAAGTTTCTTGTGTTTATTCCTTAACAATAAAGATAAAATGTCAGCTTCCACTTTTAAAGAAGCAGAAAACAGCGAAGCTAAGCTGAGGCTAACTCCTTGCTCTGATTAGAGCTGTGTTACATCTAGTACTTTTTAACAATCTTGTATGTTTTGTCATGGTGACTTTAGATACCGTGGAATAGAGCTTTATATTTAAACAGTGCTACTTTCTTTTATTCTTCAGTAGTGGCGGGGGAGTGTTTTAAAGTCATGATGATCTCAGAATTGAAGTCTGATGCACGTGGTTGCTGACTCCTAGGGCCTGCTTTTCTAACAAGTTAGCTATGCTTTCATTTACAAGCTTATATGATCAATTAGGTGACAATTTTTATGTGCAATTACCAAAGTCCAGATGCAAACAAAAAATTGGGGCTGGGATTTTTTTTAAAAAAGCCGCAGTGAGTTAAAAACAACGAATGGTCTGATAGCACTTTATAGACTAACAAAACATGTAAATGGTATCATGAGCTTTCGTGGGCACAGCCCACTTCTTCAGATGATCGGAGTTATGAGTAGGGGATATGAAAACTCAAAATAAATAGGAGAAGGGAAAGGGGAGGGGGGAAGAGAATGATGCTCTGTCTCCCACACCCTTTCCTGTTTTTTCTTTAAGTGTCTGGAGAATGGGTGCTAAACCTAAGCAGATAAAGATCTAAGTCAATAGATAGATTGCTAAAACAGGAAGGATACCACTCAGAAAGTTGTTGCACCTTCAGTTCCCACCAATTTAAATTAAAGTTGAGTCCATTAGCATGTGAATTGAATTTGTGTATGTAATGTAATTCCAGGCTTTCCCTGTGAATTTGGCTTGAGGAGCTGGCCTATGACAAGCCCGCCACCTGTCAGATTATGGTTAGGCAAGCCGTTTTTGGATTGCAGGGCTCACTGAATATGACTGTGGCAGAAAAGAAGCAGAAAGTTAGCAGAAAAGCATTTTTAGGTTGGCCTTAGAAAGAACCTGAGAGTGCTCACTGAAAAAATGCTTTGAAGTGCAAGCCTACTGTGTTCAGAGAAACAGGACTTTATGTGCATTCTTTGCACCTAAACAAGACTGTGCTCAAGAAATACCTGACCCCATCATCAATTTCTCCTTCTAATGGAAACAACTCTGGCCAAAAGGGACAACAATATGAAAACTTGTTCTCTTCACTGTCCCTCATCTCCCCTCCTCTCAATTTGTTGGTCTCATGTCACAATCAAAAGGGTGCGTTTTTGGAGCTAGGGCTGTTTTTATTTTTATTGCGTGTTGGCCCAGCTCCTAGCATGATGGGGGCTCTGATCCTGTATTGGTACCCATAGGCGCTACTACAAACAATTCTCCACAATCTTCAGATCTGCTTTAACTTTTACCTGGCTGCCCCAAGCAGCCATTCTGGATGCTAGAGGTTCCAGCGATATAGAGATGCACACACCAGTGTCTTTTTTCCAGGAATGGCCACTGCACACAGGTCTGGGACCAGGAGATTGGGAAGAATTGTTCTGTCAGCACTGTACCCTCTGGATATCCTTTACAAATCCTAAGGGAATTGATTGAATCGGCTTTCTAGTTCAGCTTTCAGCAACTAGAGCAGACTGAAGAATCCACATATGTGTCAAAAAACATTTGTGAATTCACCTGTGGCAATGGTATTTTCAAATTAGATGTGCAGTGGTACAGCCAAACAAACACCTAACTTGCTAGAAAAATGTAGGCTGCTCTAGATAATGACTTGGATTCCAAAAACTGTACATCTACCTAATTTCTGCATAATTGTGCATGCACATATTTGCAAACATCCAGTCTGACTGTTTGGGCCGTTATATGGTATTAGATAAAAGCTTAGTTCTGTGAAATTATGACTCCATATTAGGTAATTATCTAAACAATAAAAAAGCACCTGAACAACCATGCCAAAATGAATAAAATGCTATTAAAAGTTGACCTGATATTGTTTTAATCAGAGAAGCTGGTTAGGTCTATATTAGAACTGTTTTTCATTTCTGCTTCCTTAGAATCATTTGAGGAACTGACTTCAACTGCAGTAAATGAGTGTACAATTGCCATTTAGATTACTACACTGTCATTTGCATGTGCATTCACCGAGAGTGGTTCATGTTCAGAGAAACAATAAGGTACATGACATTATTACTTTGATCACTTCCTTATATGTTGTTTGTTCCCATTTCCAGCCCACTTTGTCAACAGATGAGGAGTACATTTTGATTTTGTCTTTTTAGATTGTAAGTTCCTTGGAGTAAAGGGTTGTGTCTAGATATCCCACGTGGGCTGACAATGGGATGTAATCCTGAGACCTTCAGCATGTTAGGCATAACCCTCTATGTCTTGACCTAAAAAATTAGCTCCATGGTTCAAAGCCTACTGAGATTAATTTAAAAAAACCAAACACATTGACTTCAGTGGGCCTTGGATCAGGCTCTCCCTCAGTAAGGAACTGTAGCAGACCCATAAAAATTTGTGGAGCAGCCATGAGAGGGAGCAATTCAACACAAAATAAGCTATGGGTGACACTTTTACAGCGCCTAGCACATTTTGGATGCCACAGAAATATAAATAATGATATTTTATGTGCAGTAATAGTAATTTCATATGCAAAATAGGCACACACGTTTTCATAGCATTACAAGAGCATTTACACGCCTCTGGTCAATTATGTAGATTGCCCCCATTATTTAGATATATAGTTTTCATTGCTATATCTAAATAGAATTGTGATCTCATTACGACTATTGATTAAAAAGTTGCTATCCACAAGTTGTGAGCAAGTCACCCTCAGATCCTTTTGTTCAAAGACCCTGCTTACCAGTTTAAAAAACTTCCTCAGGTTTGTTTTGGGGTTTTTATTTTCTTCTCTTCTAGGTTTCACTTCTGCAGCTTCTGCAGCTTCTGGGCTTTTAGTCTCATCTTTATCAGGAGCCACTGCTTCTAAAGATGCTTCCACTTTCTCATTGTTTACAACCTCTGTATCTTCTGGTGCAGTCTAGGGTTATTTTTGACAAATATTAAGAAGGCAGAAAATCATTCATCTGTCATATTCTCTACAGCAGTAAGGTTTTTAAATGCTGCTATGATTTAACCATGATGTCCTCCTGAATTAGAAAATGCAGTAATCCCATACAGAAAAAAAATGAACATCATGGTCCATGATTGCATTATATGCTTTAGGGCCCCCAGTCAGGAAGGCACTGAAGCATGTGCTTAAATCCATTCCTGTTCAATAAAATACTTACATCAGTGGGATTTAAGCACAAGCTTTGTCAGACATTTGTTTGAGAAGTTTTCTGGAAAAAAAAAGTGCTTTCTTGAATTGCGGCCTTAGTTCCTAAGTACAATCATTCACCTTTACTATAAATTTAAAACAAAATATAATCAACAAAAAGAATGTGGATAGTTACAGTGGCATAAAGCGGGAGCAATTTTACTGAAGTCAGTTACACCTGTACAAAATGGACACGAGTGAGAGGAGGATCAGGCCCAGGGGCTTGTAAACAGAAATTGGAATGAGGTTAAATAACTTATGAAAAAAAACCAGTGGGTCTAATTCTTCACTAGCTTTCACCTTAATTAGTGATGCACAGGAGTGCAAAGGAAATGTGTGGTGGATGAAAGATATCAGACTCAGAATTCTACACTCAGACACTTTGCACAAGTGTTAATAATCACAAGTGACATAAGGCAATGGAGAATCAGAACCATTGTTTTACCACAGTGCTGATCCTATAAGGTCTAGAACACCTCCAGAGTGTACTCAATTGGCAAGAGGCACTTTGCATTTAGTAGAATTGGGGTCACAATGAACCCTTAAAGATTAATGAAAAATTGTGTCTATTATTATTCTTCACTTTAATGCTTCATCCCACAGCCTACTCAGAGTTACTTCTGAGAGCTTAGTATGTTCAAGTGAACAGTGAAAACTGCTCAATTCAGAGTATAACCAGGGGGAACATAGGTGCTTCATTGATGTACGGATGCTTCAGATCCTTCCTGGGGCTAAATGTGCATTCCCCGGGCTGACCTCTCTTACAACTGCTTACGGACATAGGTGCTGGAACTGTCTCACACCCCCTGCCTTGAACTAGTTTCCATTATACAGACTTTACAGATTGGTTCAATGAGTCTCAGCATCCTCACTATAAAAAATTGTTCCAGCATCCCTGCCCAGATAGACAATAAAAAAGGCCCCTCCTGTGCAATAAAGAAAAGTTAATTAATTTGGCACTCACAGTCACCATATAGAGAAGCATCTTCTTCTCTGTCTTAGAGACTGAGGGTACGTCTACACTACAGCGCTAATTCGAACTAACTTAGTTCGAATTAGTTAATTCGAACTAAGCTAATTCGAACTAACGCGTCTAGAACTAAAAACTAGTTCTAATTAGCGTTTTGCTAATTCGAACTAGGATGTCCACATTGAGTGGACCCTGAACAGGGCTTAAGGATGGCCGAAAGCAGTGCCGGCAGGGCATCAGAGGAGAACTTAGAGCGTGGAGATGCTGTCTCAGGCTAGCCGAGGGCTGCGCTTAAAGGGATCCGACCCCCACCCCGGACAGACAGTTCTCAGGGGTGCCCCGCTTGAAAACCAGTCCTGGCTTGGAGTGCCCGGAGTGCCCACACTGGGCACATCACAGCACTCGGCCATCAGACCGGCTGCACTTGCCGCAGGCTGCCATCTGGGGAGAGGGGGCAATTGGGGGGCTGCAGGAGAGCTTCCACCCCCAGAAGCCC